CCCCTTGCTGCATAGGATTCTGCTGCTAAGGCGTTCTTGAGTCTGTGCACCGGGCATTCATTCACTACCTGGATCGCTGCGCCTATGATGTCAGTGACCCTCCGAGAATATACAAGCACTTCAAGTTTCTCTGCACAGGAGGGTGGCTGCAGAGTGCTGTCCGCACTTGCAGCTGCCAGTGCAATCATCTGAAGCTGATGGAGGAGACAGTAAACCCAGAGGGCAAGATACAGAAGACTGGCATCAAAGACTTGATGGGCCTCTCAGGTCAATACCCTCCTGCTCTAGGAGCAGCTATGATAGACGCCTGGAAGTCCCGACATGCATGGCGACCACCAACCGCGCAAGCTCCAGACTCAGCCCACTTGAGCAACTCATGGGCATTTTGCTGTCCCACTCAGGGCACCAAGCGAAAAGGCACCGCTGGCAGTGACAAGGAGGCCACTGCGCAGCTGCAAAAGCGGGAAGAGAAGGCTCCAGCCTCGGCTTCTTGCATTGCGCCCCATGGCAAATTCCCAAGATCAGTGTCTCCAAGGCTCAGCCTCCAGCTCCAGTGCATCCAGCACCTGCAGTGGTCGGAGATCTCAGTGCCGATTTTGATCCCTGGCACCTGGATACCAGGCGGCAATGCAGACTCCCATGTTTGCAATTCTGCTTCGTACTTGCGACTTGTCTAAGGGCACCCAAGCGAACAGGTGCCACTGCACAGCCACCGAAGACTAAAAAGACTCCAGCCAAGGCTTCTTGCATCGCATCACTCAGTCTGATGCAAATTCCCACGCAAGACTGAGATCAGTGTGTCCAAGGCTCAGCCTCCAGCAGCTCCAGTGGCTCCAGTGGCTCCAGTGCATGTAGCCAAGACGTCTTCAGACTCAGCTTCTGCTGAGTTTGACCCCTGGCACTCTGATGCTAGGCAGCAATGAAGACTGCCAGGTCTTGTCTGCCAGGCTCAGGCAGCTTGCAGCTTGTCTAAGGATGCTGCAGCCGCTCACCTGCCTTCAGAGCCAGGTGCTGACTCCTGGGACCCCTGGTGCTCCCGTAAGGAAGCCCAAGAAGCTGTGTGGGACCCCTGGTGTCAAGTTGAAAGCAGTGCTGAAGGTGGCCTGCAGCACAGTAGTCATGAGTCCTGGGACCCTTGGTCCTCCAGTGCTAGTGCTGAGCCATGACATGCTCACAGGCAGGAGGTGGAAAAGGAACCACTGCAGCTGCTGCCACTACTGCTGACTCTGCATCATCGCACTTGTAGCAGCCCGCAGCTATTTGGCAAAGAAGCATGTCAGGGGCTGATCCGTGGGATCCTTGGGCAGGCACTGATGGCAGCACTGGGGATCCTTGGGATCCTTGGGCAGCTGAAGGGGCAGCTGCACAGAAGCCTCGCCGAGGCAAACGCCAGGCACAAGATGATGAGCCCCAGGAGCTGCAGGCCCAGTCTCGCAAGCAGGTCCGTCTCGACTCTTCCCTTGAAGTGGCAAGTAAGCTGTCAGATCGGTGTGCTGGCGAACATGCACCCACTGCATATGAGGTGAGTGGAGCTGACCGGAAGCGCATTCAGTCCGTGGTCGCCACGGCCTGCAAGCGCAGGGGCTGCAAAAGGCCAGGCTGCAAGGCCAAGATGCAGCTTGATCTAGTGGTCCAGTTCGTCCAGCAGTACTGGGGCCTGCTGAGTGATGAGAGGGCCCACTTGCTTCGCTGCACGTACAACGATGTAGCTCCCAGCTCGACTGGAGACATCAAGATTGCAGAGCGGGCAGAGTGGACAGTGTGCGGGGAGTTGGTTTGCTTCACCCGCTTTTGCGCCATCATTGGCTGCAGCCAGCGCACTGTGCGCAACGCAATCGCCGGGCAGCCAGACCTGAGGCGGTCCCGCTCTAGCAACCTTCCTGCCCAGGCCAGGCCAGCTGAGCAGGCTATCAAGTGCGACATGTTTTTTCACCAGCTTCATGCATCCGCTGCAGAGCCAATGCCCGAAGATGAGCAGGCCTATCCCGCTGTCCGGTTTGTGGATGGTCGAGCTGTTCCAGCTGCAAAGGGGTCCAGGAGTGCAGAAGTGCAGGAGACAGACCCAGAGTCTCCTTTGGCTCCAGGGGCTCCAGTGGGCTCCAGTGGTGGCTGGCAAGAAGAAGTCTGCATGCAAGGCCTCCCTGATCAACATTGACCCATGGGAGGACTGGTCCTTTGACTGGATGGAGACATCACCCCTGACACCAGCAGCCAATGCAGTGGTTCTAGGCCTTCCAGTGCGCAAAATCCAGCACTGTCGCCTGGTAGACCTTTACTGGCAGATGTGCTCTGAATGGGAAGTGATGATAGAGCGCCGGCCTGATCTAGGCGCGAGGCCCTCATATCATACATTTGTGCGACGCTACACATCCCACTGGAAGCATGTTTTGCCCCTTGGCCTTGATTAGCTGTTGACGGTTCTTCATGGTGTGAAGCTATCTCACCCTGCCAAGTCCAGGCAGATGAGAAAAACGTCGCAGCATGGGCAGTGCAAGATCTGCTTCGATCTCTACATGGCCCTTCGAAACCCAAGATCCTCTTGGGAAGCCAAGGCGGAAGCAGCACGAGTGCTTCGCACTCACCATCGGGAGCAATATACGGATCGCATGCTGTACTGGTCCCTGAGGTGGTCCAGCATCAATGCTAAGAACTGCCTGGTCATCATCATAGATGGCATGGGCAAGTTTCCCACCTCCTGGCCACACCTGGGCCACGACAGGGTGTCAAAGGAGCTCGAGAACATCGTCAAGCCGAAGATGGTGATCACAGGTGCCCTAGCACATGGCTGGGGAACATTTCTGTATGGCACCGCCGAGCAGCACAACCATGGTGCAGAGACTCGGACTGCATGCAGTGCCCATACTCTGCACAGCAAGGCAGCAGCAATAGCACAGCTAAGGACCACTATGGTGAGGTCCTCTGCCGCGTGCTAGACATCATTTTTCGGTCCAGTAGGTCTAGTGGTCAAGTAGTGCCAGAGCACTTGATCCTTGTCGCAGACAACACAGTGGCTCAGTGCAAAAACCAGCAGACCTTGCTCTTTTTAGCATACCTCGTGGCGAAAGGGTACTTTGCCTCAGTCACCCTCTTTCACCTCATGGTAGGTCACACGCACGAGGCCAGGGTGTGTCCATGCTTTGTGGGCTGATTTCTGCCTGCACCTTCTGGCAGGACATTGACCAGCTGTTTGCCCTCATCAAGGCAGGGCCCACGCATTTCAGGCTGCACGTGTTGGCTAAGCCCTGGCCAGGCACTCCTGGCCGGGATGCGGACGTGGCAAACACCCAGGGACATGCTTCAAGGTATCAGGCAGAAGCTGGAGCCACGCGTCAGGAGCAAGGGGGAGTTCTTGATCACGGACGAGATCACCGCTGTGCACGACTTCAAGTCCTGGCTCGCGCCCTTGCCAGTTGCTGCGGCCTCAAGTTGGCTTCCTCACTTGGCACTCCATGGGAGCACTCATGTTCATGTCCGAGTCCGAGCCGCGTGGGCCACACTGCCCTAACCAAGGAGATGTCAGGCTGCTTCAAGCCAAGATATGGCACTGCTTCATGCTCATGAAAGGTCGCCAGCTGACTCGTGCGCACCCAAAAAGATAGCTCCCACGAGATCAAACCAGCCAATGCTAGACTGCCACCCATAAAGGTAAGAGGACACTTCCAGACCCTGATGGCGTGACGTGTGGGCATCAAGTCCTATGTGAAAGTGTGCGAGTGATAGGGGAGCTTAAGGGGAAGAGTGGGAGAGGGAGATGAACGACCACACATCCACACCTAAACCGAGTGCTCAGGCACCGCCCTAATACACTCAACTGCTGCTCACCCCACTCTTACTCGGCAGGATGTCCCGAAGTGTGCCTGGTCAAGTCCTGCCACGTCGAGAGCTGGGCGACTCAGAGATCAAGAGCTTCCTGAAGCTGGCCCAGCTGTGCATCAAGTATGGCATGCCCCTAGCAGAGAGTGCTCTCAAGGAAATGGTGTACCAGAGGGTGGACAGCGTTGTCGATCTTAGCTGGCTTGCTGAGCAGGTTGGCCGAATGCGTGGTCTGCGCAATCTTGCCACCGGTGATCATTTTTTCCCGCACTTGCCAGACTCAACCTGGCAAATGTCAGTGCGGCTGGGGTGATTGAGCCACTGGGTCAATACTTGGCTCTAGTGGCTCCCGTGGCTTCAGACATTTCCAATGCGCCACCGGGCCAGGGTGAAGTTGACTCGTCCGCTGGGTCAATATGTTTTTGTGTTTTTTTGCAAAATTGCAAGTCAGCATGGCCCAGCTACTCCTGTCAGCACGGCCCAAGTAGCGGCAAAATAGTTGCTGTTTTTGAGGCGGGTCATCGAGTTGAGGCGTAGACTGACCACTTTCTGAGATGTCCGGGCCCAGAGCTGCCTGGTCATCACTGATGCTGTGTGCAAACTGCTGATGTGCTGCCCTTTTGCCATGACAGGCAAGGTCATGACACAATTCCCACCACTGCCCTGGCCCAATGCTTCTCATGCTGACGAGCTCCTGGACTTCTGCCCTGAACAGCTGCGCATCCAAAACACAGCTGCACCGGCAGCTGCAGTGATTGCCGCCTTCTAGATCCAGCACACCAGTGTGGAGTGGACATTATTGGAGCGGGGATCAAGTGAATCTCCATCTCAGACTTCTGGCCCAGCCCTCAGAAGACCCACAATGATGATGTTTGCCCTTTTGGTGTTGGAGGTGAGCTTTAGAAAGGCCCAGCAGGCTCCGTGTGTCAACCAAGGCTTGGTCCTCCTGATCCGGCAGCAGTGTAGCCTCCATCATCAAGTCAGAAAAATGACAAGTGCCGCAGCACTGCAGCTGCCAAGAGCCCATTGCAAGCATGGTCATGTCCACAGATTGCAATAAGGTCAGCCACTGCACATCGGTGGAGCTTTTGCAGCTCCAGTGGCTCCAGTGGCTTCAGTAAGTCACGGGTCGGTAGTGGAGCTTAGCTGCACTGCCGATGAGCACTCTGGAGGACTTGCTCAGAAGCATGACAGTGACACGTGGCCCCTGTTTGCACCTCAGGAGAAGCTCGGCAAGGTCTATGAGAAAACCTTTGCAGAGATTCGCTCCTCACTGTCAGGAGACACCTATGCCAATGTCCATGACTGGATGCAGGCAGAGTACTTGGCGAACCCTGCCCAGCTGATGTCTGAGCTGAAGGAGCTGGAGGGTGAGTGCCGGCAGATACTTGGGCTCCCAGGCTCCAGCAACATCCACATCAGAGCACAGTCCCTGACTCCTTGGTGACTGACCAAGATGTACCCCGACGCTTCAAGTTGGCCCTGTGGCAGTTTGGCTTCCTGGCTGACAGCCAGCTCAAGGGGCCTGTCCAGTCATACGCAGTGTCCCTCACCTGCACCCAGTGGCTGTCTTGTGTGCTGAGTTTGTGAGTGCACAGTGACATCTATTTTGTGGCCAGCCAGGCGAGACAACTTGCAGAAGCTGATGGTGTTCAAGAGAGGCAATGAAACGCATCGATATCCATTGGAAGTGCTCTTCCAGTTTCCGTGCAGCCTCAATCCAGCACCAGCTGGTCCAGGCTCACTCCTCAGCTGTTGTGCCATCAGCCAATTCCCCACATGGCAGTGCCAGAGTTGAGCCATTGCTGAGGCTCAGAAGTGCAGCCATTCACGGTGGCACTGGCCATCGGATCTGCTACAGTCATGAGCTGCTTTCTGTTCGCAATCTTCAGCAAAAGGCTCGACATTCTCGCAGAGCACATCACGGACGAAGAACTGCAAAGGGAGTTGGCCTTGCGCCTGATGAAGACCCTTGTGCTCCACACGACGAGCTCTGGAGATGACAATCCCGACAGAAGAATGCTTCAAAGCCTGGGGGAGAAGCGTGCAGCTGCGCAGCGCACGCATCCGAGCCCCTTCCAGCACTGGTACGTCTACCAAAAAATCCTCAGCAAGCAAGTCAACCCACGTGGGCCGGGGCCTTGGGCCCAGTCAAAGCTTGCACGCACTTGCTTCCTGTGAGTCAGGTCTAGGGAGCAGCGCCTGCGCGACCTCATCCGTGAGCAGAACGCATCCGCGGTGTCAAAAGCTCGAGTGGGCACAGAGGAGATGTCAGTGATGATATTCCTGGACAGTGCAGGCCCTGAGACCAGGAAAATCATTGCGGCAGCCCACCAGAGCGAGGCGCCGCAGTTCACGGCGTTCCCGTTGTCGCTTCTCACCAAGGACTTCTTGCACCCGTATTACCCGAATCCAGTGCAACTTGGCACAGCCCAGGCCAGCGGCACTCTCCCAGTGGCTCCAGTGGCTCCAGTGGGTCTAGAGGCTCCAAAGTAGCCTTCTATCTTGACTTTTGACACCGACTCAGGAAGAAAGAGGAGAACCCGGTCTGATCCACGGCCATTCCTGGGAGAAGGTCGAGTGGTGGGCCCGAAGGGTCTATGGCAAACGGGAGCATAAGATCTCCCAAGTGATCCAGGCTGGGCAGGTTCCAGCCGTCAAGAGCTCGACAGGCTGCGCGCCCTTCCGAGATTCCGGCAAAGAACTGGAAATCTACTGCATGGCCCAGCTCATGCAGCACGCCTTCGTGAAGATGTTGCCACAGGACCGCTACAAAGAGCTCATGACCATGTGGAACAGTGGCCTGGTGTACTCGAAGGTCATGCCCGCCATCATGGCGAAGCGCAAGGAATTTGAGCCGAGGGATCTCGCCTTCCTTGCCCTGCAAGACGATCCCGCGACTTCCTCAATCCAGCAGGGACTGCTGAAAAGCAGGACCAGGGGGGCTCAAGCAGGGATCCACAGCTTGGCTTCAGTGCTGGGCAAATAAGCACCCCCACTTTAGGGAGCACCCCCCCACTTTAGGGAACTCACCCCCTTCTCAGGAAGCTCTCAAGCGCCTGGTCAAGCAGCTCCAGCATGAGCAGCGCGCCTGGCGGGTGTACTTGCAGAAGGCAAAGGCCTCCGACGACATGCAGAGGGGCGACTGGAACGTCCAGGTGGCGAGGCAGCAGGAGCGCCTTGAGGAGGCCTGGCAGAGCCTCAGCAGTGCCTGGTGTGTCACGACAGCCGCCAAGGACACTGCTGTCCGGGAAATTGATGTCATGACTTAACTTGTTGCCTTGCTGTCCTTGAGCTAGCTGTTTTGGCATGCAGGACCTCAGCACAGCCATGCCACACGTCGCTGCCCACCGGCACATGCTGGCAGATGCGGCAGATGCTGTCCAGGTCCATCAAGTGGTTCAAGTGTTCGAGTGGAACATTCCAAAGGCAGGTGGGGAAGCCTCCAAGAAGGCGGAAGAAGCTGCAAAGGCCATCGCCCTCTCATGCAGCACTGACCCGCAGATGGCTATTCACATAGTGCCCCCTGCTTGCACTGTTGTGCTAGGCTTCAGTCATATATACTTGAACCAGTAGTGGACCTTGCCATGAAACCCGCGCGTGCCGAGGATCCCGCCTTGCCAGCCATGCTACGGGAAGATGGACAGCTCAGGAGACGAAAGGGTGGAGAGCACAGCCAGGCATGTGGAGCTGTGGCTGGATCAACTTTCAAAGCCTGAGCACAAGCTCCTCATCCGCAAGGTGAGGGTGACCTGGAGCGCGGAGACATTTTACAGCCCAGAGCGGGAGCTTGCCTGGGAAGCATGGATCACACTGTCATCCACGACCAGGGTGCCCAACAAAGCCAGCTCCTTCAATCACGTGCTGGGCAACAGCCCACTTCTGAAGCGCGGTGCTTTTCCAGTTTTCATCAACGCCATGGCTCGGAAGGACTTCCGCAACTGGAAGGTGCCGCTGGGCGTCGATGGTGCTGGAGGCTCCAACAACGCCTTGTCCATTGAGCAGCTGCAGTGGTTCAGCGGCTCTGAGCTCCACTCACAGTTTTTGCGCCACCTCTTCATGGGCTCCAGCTTGGGGAAGCAGAGCCGGGTTCAGGTCATCGACATGTTTCTTCTCGACGACCAGCCTGGTTGAACTGCCTCAGCGACCGCGGGCTTCCTCAAGTCGGGTACTGTGGAATAGTGTGGATCCAAGAGAAAGCACTTGTGAGGCAGGGGCTTGGTGTCCAAAAATGTTTCTGGGAGGCCTTCCACCTCCAAGTGCCTAGAGCCTTCAGGAATGTCATCCTGGAGAATGTCACCACATCCCTCTCTAACATGTACAAGGAAAAGCTCCGACAGAAGACGCTGCTCTTGGAGACGGGGGTCGTCGTCCCGGAGGTTGGCCAGGGGGCGGGTGCACAGCACACAAAGCCTGAGTATGACCCCAAGGACTTTGAGCTGTGCTGGCCAAGGGCAAATCAGGAGCTTCCACTTCGGCAGACCACTGTGGATCAGGCAGAGAAGCTCAATGGCATCTCCATCACAGACTCCAGTGGTCAAGGGATCCAGTGGTCCAGCCTTCAAAAGGCCCACAACGACGAGTTCTGCCCCAGCGGTGAGGCCTACAACCCTGCCAGCAACAAGAGGAGCCCAGAGTGCAGCACCGAGGAGCTGCAGAAGCAGACCAAGCCTGCAGTGAATCTCTCAGCCAGCTCAGCCTCCAGATGGCCTGCTGAGCACTGGAGTTGCCACGGACGACTTCCAGCTGATCTTGGCACCTGACGGCTCTCTTTACGTCAAAGCCCTCAAAGACTCCTGCCTGGAAAGCAGTGCAGCACTGTTCCTGTGCAAAGGCACGTACAAAACTGGAGCAACCGCCAAGGCAGAGAAGGGCAAGCCTGGCTCCGCCTTCATTCCCTCCGAGATGAGCCAGGACACCTTGGTGGTTGTCGACTTGGGCGGCACCCGCTGTCCGAACGGTGCTCCTCCCAGTTTTCCAGTGCCTCTTGGAGCTGCCTTGCAATGGTTTGCCGGCGCGCGTCTTCAGGTCGGTGCAATTTTCAAGCACAAGGTCTTCGAGGTCGAGGGCAAGTTCAAGGTAGCCGCCACAGATGATGTCATCTACCAGCTGGATGTGAGCCGCAAAGATATGGACCCAAAGGCAGTGATTGCAAAGGAAGCACTGTCCAGCTACGTTGACTATAGCAAGCTCACCCATCTCAAGGCAATCCAGCGGGTGAAGTATGATGAGAGTGGTAAGGCGCTCAAGCAAGGCATTCCCGCTGTTCACGCATCCCAGTCAATTCGTCTCAAAAAGGACGAAGTGTATAAGATGTAGGGGCTCTAGTGCCTCTAGTGGCTACAGTGGCCACTCAGTTTTGCTTCAGCTCAGAGGGCGGGCAAGGCCCTAACAAAGCACGTGACCATGGTGAAAAAGATAGCTGACCACCAGGGCTCGACTTGTTTGAGGCAAGTGTTGTTTATGCTGCATTGCCCGCGGCTCTTGAATTTCAAGAAGCTCGAGAAAACACCCTTAGGCCCCGGCTCTAGTCTCGCCATGATGATGTCCTTCTCCATCGCTCCAAAGCCAGACCTCTCGTTCTTGGAGCACTCCTCGCAGGACATATATGGAGAGTTGACACAGCGGGAGCAAAGGGCAGCTGATCAAGTTGCCCGTTCCCTGCAGTGCCCAGAGCCTGAAAATCTGCATCCAATCCGGAAAAGGCCAAGGGCAGTCCGCAAAAGGCCAAGGGCAAGGGCAAAGCCAAGGGTCAAGCCAAGCCCCAAGCCAAGTCCAGTGGGAAGACTGCTGCCCCAGTGCAAAAAAAGCCCAGCAAGGCTTTGATGAAAAAGCCTGCCAAGTCTTCCTAGAGCTAGCTCAATGCAGCTTTCAGCTGGACTCGCTGTTTTTTTCAGGAAATCATGGCTTGCTTCAGGAATCAGTTGCTTCAGGAAATCACTTGGCTACAGTGGGTCCAGTGGCTCTAGCTGGACAAGAGTAGAAAGGGCCCTGCGCGGGGATTGAAAAAATCTACAGGCAGCCCGTGCACGCTTTTATGTTGCCGGTGCAGTGCAGCAGTTCTGAGTGCCACAATTTCAGCACATTGCTCTGAGGCTTGCGGCGCCATGACTTTTGACATGTCGCCGGTGGCTTGGAGTGAGACTGCTGCACTGTGGCAGCTTAGCACTGCATGGGCAGCAAATCAAGATTACTGAACTACTTGACATACAGGATCCACTCAAAGCTTCTTGACTTTGATCTCGACGCATAGCCGGCGAACCGTCTCAGGTGCAAGGCACGCCTTCACTCGCAGGACTTTGCTCACCTTCGTGGCAAGAGGCCGCCATCCAAACTCCCCCTTGTCGCGCTGCGCCTTGAGTTTCTTCACCTGCTTGATGCTGGCCTGGGACGGCTTGAGCTTCTGAATCACACTTTTGCAGCCGTTCACCTGAAGGGAAATCCAGCCGCAACAATGTGTTATTGCCACTTTACTTCCCTCTTCTAAACATGGTTTTGGAGCTTGCCCGCCTTGGGGCTCCCCTTCTGTGTGATTTCCTTGGTGGTTTTTACCTTGTTAGCCAAGCCCTGGGACAGGTGATACACCACCATGTCTTTGTTGAACTCTTGAGCTGCGCAGTGCACCTTCCTGATGAACGACTGTGCCGGCGTAGGGCTGTGAGTGAACAAATCCGGTATGTCACTGCACACAATTTCCACATTGTGCTTCCGGCTCGCCTGCCAGGCCTGCTCTGCAGCAATCTGCGAGCGCGCCAAGGCACGGGCAGACTCAAGAAATATCTTGACCTTGTCAGCACAGCCCTTGAGCATGGGGTGTGTGCGCTCAACTAGGCTCTTCAGGGCAGCACGCTGGTCATAGGGAAGGCTCCCACTCACCACTTCTGACAGCTTGACTTTCAAGGGCGTTGAGTCCCTTTGCGCTGCCTGTTTGGCCGCTGATGTTTGACGCTTGATCGAGCCTGCTAGCTTCTTTCCGTCACTGCTTGTCCGTGTGTAAAGAACCCCAACCGTCTTTGCACTGGATGTTGAGGACTTTGATGAGGGCTTTTGCGTCACCTTGGTCGGCTTTGGGCAGCGGCCTGAAGATGCTGAGGAGCTCGATGGCTTCCGCACCACTCGTGCCATCAGCTCAGTGCAGTGACTAGATTACTAGACAGGGGGGAGCCACTAGATCCACTAGAAGTGGCCACAGTCAGGCACGCACAGCACAGCTGTCTCACAATGCAGCCGTCTTTAATACCAAAGTTTTCAAGACACCCCTCTTTTGTGAGACACCCCCCTTTCTGAGACACCTACGTTACCAATACTTCACGCATCAGTCCTGGGGTCTGGCCTTTGCAAGCAAGTCCTCTGCCTGGGCATCAAACTCAGAGCTATAGGTGGACACAGAGAGGAGGCATCGCTCTCCAACGTGTTCTAATAGTTTCCTACTTTGTGGCACAGAGGTGTCTGACATGCTTTTGACATTTTCTCATATGTTCTCACATATGCTCACAGTTTCTCATATTTCTCATATTTTCTCATAGTTCCTCATATTTCTCATATTTTCTCATATGTTCTCATAGTGTCTCATATTTCTCAAGTGACAAAATATGAGAAATATGAGAAAATATGAGAAAATATGAGAACATATGAGAAAAGATGGGAAGTTAAAC